TGTGTGTGTGTGTGTGTGTGTGTGAATGTGCAGATGTGTCTCTATGTATGCATGTGTGTGCTCACATGTGCATATGTGTATGTATGCTTGTGTGTGCATGTACATGTGTATCTGTGTGTGTGTGTGTGTGTGTGTGCATATGTGCATGTGTGTATGGCAGGTATGTGTGGACACCAAAGCAGAAGGAAATGCCATATTTTTAAAATAGGTGCTTGGATTGACTGTGTACCACTTCTCCTGAATTATGCTTGTGGGGTTAGCAATGGGAAGTGAAAATTGAGACCTTTTCTTTTCCATAGAGTGAGGTAGGGAACATGACGAGTCACGAGAAAAGGTGATGAGGGTTTTGCATCCTGGAATGTCATTAGCAGTGCTAAATGTCCTTCATGGAGGCAAGGTACACTGTCACACAGCACACCTAGTCAAACTGTGGCATTTTCCTCCTCGGTTCTTGGCAAAGCACATTTCACAGAGTGCACCTGAGAGTAGCTTTGATCTTTCATGGAGTCTAGGAAAAGATTAATGCTTATTTGCTAAATATTTCTTATAGAATTAATTTTTCAATCTTGTTCTTTATATTGCCACAGTCTGCATAACATGATTTAAAATTCCAGTCTCATGTGGCTAGTTCCAAAGTACAGTTTTGATTAATCAGAGAATTGGTTTAATCATTTGTTGCAAGGAATAATAAATTACCACAGCTGAGGACTTCCCAGCTCTCTTGAACTAGGTCTGTTTTGACCTGCTTCTCAATATTTGACACACTGTGGCATGTTAGCATGTTCAAATAGGGTTGAATTATGTATAAGCTCTGGAACAAAACCACAATGGTATGGAGATTAAGAATCAGGAAAACACTCAAACCACATTAGGTTGCTATTGTTTCACCTAAGGAAAGAAGAGTCAAATGCAAACTAGTGGAAAAATGCCAGAAGACTGGACCTAGACAGGATGAAACTGTACCTGGACTCTCCTGCACCTTTATGGTGAACTTTACTGTATAAAGATCAAAGCGGATTGTATCGAGTTCACAAGTCTCTGGGCTCTGACCCCCTCAGGGTCAGAGTGCTTACTTATAACCATCTGCTATGAAGAATCACAGCCATTCTTTCATTCATACTATGATAAAAAAAATTACTGTTTTTAAAATGTTGAGAGAGAGAGAGAAAGAGAGAGAGAGAGAGAGAGAGAGAGAGAGAGAGAGAGAGAGAGAGAGAGAGAGAGAGAGAGAGGTGTAAGTACACTGCAGAGGGTAATTGTGCCTACTCATGCACATACCTGGAGTCTGGATAAAGACGATGCCTGGTGTCGCACTCTATATCACTCTCTGCCTTATGTCCCTGAGACAGGGTCTCCTCACTGAATCTGCATCTAGGCTAGCAGCCAGCAGGTCCCATGGATTCTCCTACCTTCACTCATTGCAGCAGTGGGTTATAGGCATCCATAGTTGTCCCCAGTTTTATATAGGGGTGCTAGGGTTTTGAACTCAGGTTCTTGTGCTTGTAGAGCAAGCATTCAACCACTGACCCATCTCCCCAGCCCCCAAATTACAGTTCACAGTCGTCAGCAGTACCCAACCCCACTTTAGACGGTAAAGACATAGGTGTCATGCCTCATTCAACAAGCTAATGCAGAGCTGAGGTACCACCTCCTGAAATATTTATTAGGTATCTGATGTTCTAAGTAACGAAGCTGCCAGAAGTGATAAAATATCATGCACTGTGGTTCCTAATCTGCCTCTCAACTTTTGGAGAATTGAGGCAGAAATTTGGAGTTCCTTGCAATGTGAGGCTAAGTAATCATAGAATTTCAGCTGTCGGACTCTGGTGGCTTGCAGCAATGATGAGTACCAAAGTGACATTAAAAATCACGGATCAAGCCGGGCACGGTGGTGCACACCTTTGATTCCCAGCACTCGGAGGGAGGCAGAGCAGCACTTGGAGGAGATCTCTGAGTTCGAGGCCAATCTGGTCTACAGAGCAAGTTCCAGGACAGGCAGGGCTACACAAAGACCCTGTATTGAAAACCAAACCAACCAACCAAACAACAGAAGTCATGGGTCATTTTGCACTTATTTCTTATGATGGGTTGAGTTTGAAGGACAAAAGGACAGGAAATGGATGCCTAGAGTAAGAAGTACTGGGTCCCTAGTTCTACCCCAGTCTTGAAGCAGCCTAAGAACATTCCAGAAAAAAACCTCTGACCCACTTCTCCCTAGCACACTGCCAGAAAAAAGTCAAGCCCTGCTGAATGGGAATAAAACAGAACTTGTGGTTCTGAACTGGCCTGCGTTTCTAGGAGCAGACAGGGGTAGGGGAAGGGGTAGGAGACTTCCGGCCTTTAGTGATCAGCCCTTGAGCTAATCCTTCAAATCACAGACCTCTGCCTAGATTCCTCCAGCACCCAGCATAGACATTGTTGAATGTGATGCACAGTGAACGAATGGATGGATTTTTAAAAATTTATTATACTTTGTTACACAAGAAATCTGAATAAGAGTTATGAAATTAGGATTTAATGAAGTCAGAAACTTTCAAAGGGACAAAACATCATATAGTTCAGATGTCTTTGTTTGTTTAGGGATTTATTGCATTTTAAAGCTTTTTGCCATCAATGAAAATAGCCAAGGAAATAATTACTTAGAAAATCAAGAGGCTCTTAAATCCTCCCTTTAAAAAAAAAATTGATGAACATCAGAATTTCTTCTATGGCCACAGATGGAAATATGTTCAGAACCTTAAAAGCCACTCAAGAGAAATCCTATTTCAAAACTCATTCTCCGAATGAGTGTCCCTTTAGACACTGCAGCTGTCCCAGCAAGAGGCTAAATTAAGTTTAAGTGCTGTTAAATAGAAGGTAACCACCAGAATATTTCTAAAGATACAACGAGCTTCCAATGTTTTAATCAGACAATTTGCCAATCACTCCACATTGCACAGCCAGCCACCAGCCGCATGGGTGACTCTAGGCCCTACTGCTGAGCGCTTCCTCCTCCCCTCCCTCCCCTCCTCCCCTCCTCTGTGTCCCCCTCCCTTGCAACTCAGGCCCTCGTTTCTCTTTGGACCCTACCTCAGAGCCCATTAAGAAGAGCTTTAATCCAAGGAGATCTAGATGATCAAGAAGAATTAAGCTTCTAATAACAGCAAAATCGTAAGAAATGTGGACAAAATGACTCTTTGCATCGCAGACTTTGTTTACTAGTGGGTAATTAATTCTGTACATATGCTGGGAACATCTGTCGCCGTGACCTGCCATCGGATCTGTGAAATGACTGCTGTGCGCTTTCCCCGCAGGTCATTAGAGGCGCTCGGAGAGGAAGGGAGGCCCCTTGGTTTTGTTTCTTACCGCTGCTCCTCGTCCAGGTATCCTTCTCTTGAGCCCAGATACCCCCCCTCCGCCCCATTTGTGAGCTTCTCACTGTGAGATGCCCTCCTGGCTGCTCACTGTGGCACCAGCAGGCCTGTCTGGCTACCTCCTGGTCTTTTCCAGTCAGGTGCAGATGCAGAGTTCAGAAGCAGCCACTATGGCACGGGGAAGGGAAACTTTTGGGTGAATGTGAAAGATCTGAAGCCCAGCTGAATAGGGTCCAGTACAAAACTTCCCACTCAGAAGCAGCTCAATGTAACCTGGGGTGTGTGGGGTGCTACCTCAGATATATGAGGGGTCACCCCCAAGAGACCAGGTCTTGACAGAAAGCAATGGCTTAGAAGGCCAGGGAAAGGCTTTGGTGGCATGAGGACACACCATTGTCTGGAACCCTGGAGGTTCAAGTGCAGGGATGAAGAGGTTTGTGAAAAGGCCAGGGCCCCTCCTGGTTTCTGTCCCTTTGAGAGGGAAGGACAGCGAGTGGCCACTGGCTTAGCCCCTCCAATGCATGTCATGCACGTCACCCTCCTATGACCCTTTCTGATCACTGTGTTCCTAAGTCCCCCACCCAGTGATTTATTTCATGAGTCAGGAGCAAGTGGAAATTTGAAGACTGTGAGCTCACAGGGGTAAATAAGGTTCTGAACATATTTCCATCTGTAGTCAGAAAAAATTCTGATGTCCACCAATTAAAAAAAAAAAGGATTTAAGAACCTCTTGAATTTTTTTTAAGATAATTATTTCCTTGGCTATGTTCATTGATGGCAAAAGGCTTTAAAATGCAATAAATCCCTAAACAAACCAATTTGTTCATTGGTGTTTCTTTTTAACTGTCACAGTCTGATAAATCATTTCTATTATTTGACTATCTCTCAATTCAACACCCTAGCTGAGTTCCCATTGTGAGCAGTGGAAGTGTTTTACTGACTGTAGTCTCCAGCCATGGAGATGTTTGCGTGACGCCGCAGGGGTGACGCCACAGGCATTCTTGGATGGGTGAGGTGGGAACATGGAACTCTAACTGTGATGTCCTTGAACTATTCTATAAGAAATGACACTGAGGGGGCTGGAGAGATGGCTCAGGAGTTGAGAGCACTGACTGCTCTTCCAGGGGACCCAGGTTCAAATCCCAGATCCCACATGGCAGCTCACAACTGTCTGTAACTCCGAGATCTGATGCCACTGTCTGACATCACACAGACATACATGCAGGCAAAACACCATTGCATATAATAATATATATATATATAATATCTATGATAATATATGTGATATATATAAATATAAATATACATACACACACGTGTACATATGTGTATGTATGTATATATATATATATATATATATATATATATAGAGAGAGAGAGAGAGAAAGAGAGATGAGACTCAAGTCTTGAAGAATGCATGTGATTTAGCTGAGAAGCACTGTGATTAGGAGCATGAACTCACCCTGCCTAGGTTTACATTTCATAGCTATGAGATCTGTTCTTAGCACCTGCCACATAAGTTTACCAAGATGCTTCCAATAGTTTGCATTAGTCAAGTGCTTAGAATGTCTCCAGTATGCCATCATGTAATAACGTTTTCAAGACTAAAGGAAAAATCCTCAAGTGATTCAAGGAGTAGCAAGCTGTGGTGTGTCTGGAATCAACGGCTAGTTCCAGGTCAGCTGTATGTGGTGTGCACATTGGCTGGTGTTCTCTGCAAAGAGAATATGAAAACTTAGTCAGGAAAACTAGAAACATTACTCTGCAGGAGGGGTTCTTTCCTATAGAATTCTGCTTTGCACTTACATGTGGCTGATGGAGTCTCTCTAGACTCACGCCAACCCATCCCAAGGGATGCTGCTTCTTGTCAGTTGTAAAGGTGACACCTCACGCTGCACCCTACTTCTGTCTGCTGAACTTTCCATCTGCTCCTGGTCTCACAGATCTATTAGTCATCAGTCTTTATTGGAGAACATGGCTGGTCACGCATGTTTGTAGAGCTGGAAATGACAGCACAGGTTTAGTTAGGCTCTGTGATCTTTGTGCCTGGCCTCCGGAGTTTTAGCAACAAAACCCTGGCTCCATCCTCTTCCCACCCAATGGCTACCTCAAGGCTTGCATCTCACTACAATACACAAGTCTCCATGCCTTCCACCACTAGACCAGTATCCACTGGACTCTAAACCCTGGGGATGATCTTCAGGAAGCTTTGAATTAGTCTGATGAACTAAAAGTGAACTATGGAAGTCTTTGTGTAAGACAGTAAGATGATCACTCGGCAGAATTTAAGATTAGAAAAAAAGGATAAGAAACTAAGAAAGAAAAATGTAAAGGACAGGACAAGGATCGGTATAGCACAGAGAACAGATAAGGGGGCATTTCAAGAGAAAGAATGTGGTGTCCAACACCAAGACTATTCTGAGATCATGCTTAAGATTTTGAATTATGTGATAAAATGTTCTGTGATGGCAGTCATTTCAAAAGAACAGTGGAAGTGGAGGGCAACTTCAGGATGGTTAAGAAATGAGCTACAGTTTATGAGGTAGGAGGTGGAGCCGCTGATCATTCTAGAAGCCGGAGAGTGACTGGAGAGAGATCTTCAGTACTGAGTGACAGATGGACACCATCAGCCGATTAGGAAATGAGGTCAGTTTAGGGAATGGGGTTTCCACCAGAGGGGTGTGCATATACATGGGCTGACTGTGGCGTTCGTTCAGGAAAGAAGAAACAAGAACGGGAGGAAGGGGAGAGAAGAGAGACACAACTAGAAGAAGAAAGGGTTGGGTTAGCTGCCAGGATGGAAGGTTCTAAAGCAAGTGTCTTCAGAACCAAAACAGTGGCATAGCAAGAAAAAATGGAGGACTTCAGTCATCTGTTTGCCAAGTTAATGTTTTCAATCTCCTTAAAGCACATCTACACAGCTACGGAACACGATCAAAGAGATTTGCGGGGAACATTTTTATCACCTAGTCATCCTCTAGTGCCTATTTTGGGCAGCTGTCTATAATGAACATTCAAATTCTTTGATGAAGGAGAAAACATGCTTCATATCACTATAATAAAGTAAAAATTGCAATAAATCAAGTGTTGTCGTCTCTCTGTGTGTACATATGTTTGTGTACAAATTTAAATATTAAATCAGTTTAATGTTATGCCTTAATTTAAAAATATCGCACTAGGGCCCAGTGAGATGGCTCTGCATGTAAGGCCACCAGGCCTGAGGGTCTGATCTCCATCCCCAAGACCCACATTAGTAGAAAGAGAGAATTGACTCCAATCATGTTGTACAAATACATGGTCCACGGCATGTGCGCGTGTGTGCGCACACACACACACACACACACACACACACACACACACACACACACAAACAAATAATAAATCCAATACAAAATTTAAGAATTAGAAATACTTCAGTGATAAGACTGTGTTATCAGTTGTGTGAGTCTTCAGAAGCTGCTTTTGTTTGCTGGTGGAAGGTTATCATGCCAGAAGGGTGATGGTCACAGGAAATTAGAGTGACTATGGAGATCTTAATTAATTGCTATCTATATCAGTGGACTTTTTCCCTCATGAAAATATTTTCTGAAGCATGCACTGCAGTTGGATAGCATTTATGACTACTAAGAACCATACGTGGTATGTGACTATCTTAATTAGGGTTTCTATTGCTGTGAAGAGACACCATGACCATGGCAAGTCTTATAAAGGAAAACATTTGATTGCGGCTGGCTTACAGCTTCAGAAATTAGTCCATTATCATCATGGCAAGAAGCCCGGCAGCATATAGGCAAACAGTGCTGGAGGAGCTGAGAGTTCTGTGTCTTGATCTGTAGACAACAGGAAGTGAACTATCACACTGGGTGTGGCTTGAGCATATATGAGACCTCAAAGACAGCTTCCACAGTGACACCCACTTCAACAAGGACACACCCACTTCAGCAAGGACACACCTCCTAATAGAGTTACTCCCTATCAGCCAAGCACTCAAACACATGAGTCTATGGGGGGGTCATTCAAACAACCACAGTGACAAATGTCAGAAAACCTTTTAGTTATGATGTATTTGTGCATGCAACAGAATCAACTTGTGTTTTGAATGTACACTTCTGTGTGAAATACATATTTAATATTTATCTAAATCTGTATGGAGTGACCCATTCAATGGATAAGGAAACCAGGGTTCAGAGATATGAAGTAACAGAATTGAAATCACAAGGTTGGGCTTGTAAAATGAGGAAAACTGATATGTGTGAAGCTGATATCCACATATTCTCTCAGATTGTGGTAGGTAGTAGTGACATGGGTCATTATCTTGGCTGCTTGGAATCTTGAGGCTTATGGAGCAATCTGGTAAGCAACATGACAGAGGCAGTCTCCCTGAAGCCTTTCTTGTTAGCTTGCTTACACAGCAAATTTTACCAAGTCCTTTTGATCCTTAGGAAATTCTGAATATATTGATTATTTTTAATGATCTACCTAGTAAGACATCAGCAGCTACCATTTCCTGAATTAAAATGGCTAAGGCATATCCCTACTCAAATTTCTCCCTCCCATACATTTCTGATCCAGATGAGTAGAATATAAGCTCCATTAGTACAGGAACTTTGTTGTTGTTTCAGGGAGAGAGACAACACAGCAATGTGTGTCTGTGTTTGTCCCACTACTCTACTGAAAGGCTGAAGCAGTTCGTGGCATGTGGAACTAGATATTCACGGAATACGTTGTTATGGAGTCATGAGATGATTTTATGTTTAAACCAGTCACTCTTGTCCCTTTATATGATGAATCACAGAGATTGATTTTTTTAAAATGTAAACCAAAAGTTGCATTATTTTACATAAACCCCACTTGGCAATTGACCTAATCCATTGACCTAAGCAGCTCCCAGTATCAAGCTCTATCAGAGTTTCAAGAACACAAATCATCAAGCACAAGAAAGAGCATGGCAAGGCCTGTGACTCACCAGACCCATAGCCACTTCCTTCTGGCACCAAACATGCATTTTCTGGGTAAGAATTATTACTCAGGTCCATGTGCCATTACATCTCATGCACTGGAGCATGCTCTCCTTATGGGATACTTGTGTTTAGTTCCTTGGGTATTTGTACAGCTTAGGCAAAAATCTCCAGGTACCCACATCTTAAAGGTCTCTGTATTTTTTTTTTTTTTTTTTTTTTTTTTCGAGACAGGGTTTTTCTTTGTAGCTTTGCGCCTTTCCTGGAACTCACTTGGTAGCCCAGGCTGGCCTCGAACTCACAGAGATCCACCTGCCTCTGCCTCCCGAGTGCTAAGATTAAAGGCGTGCGCCACCACCGCCCGGCTTAAGGTCTCTGAATTATATATACGATTATCTTTACATTATATATACACAATACTAAACCAGGGACATCCATGAAAGGCATTCCATAGATAAGGACTCTACTGGCTGTGTGTATGTCTGTGTGTGTGTGTGTGTGTGTGTGTGTGTGTGTGTGTGTTTAAGCCCAGACAATAGACATAGTTAGACATCTTACATATAATTAGTCTATCAGGAATTTGAACCATTAACTTATAAAAGGGGACGATATGGAGCTACATAATCAAATGCTTTGTTGCTATCATTATTTATGCAAACTACTGTCTTATTGGCTTACCTAAGAATATTTTTTTAAATCTTCATTTATTTTTTTCTCCTTTCTTCTGCTTAGATCCGAAGTATGTTTAAAATTCCCTTACTTTATGTGTATGTGACTGTAGGTGTGTGTGTCATATGTGTGCAGTGTCCCCAGAAGCCAAAAGGAATAGGATACCCCAGAAATGGAGTTACAGGAGGATGGGAGTCACCATGTGGGTGCTGGGAACTGAACCCAGGTCCTTTGCAAGAGAAGTACTCTTAACCACTGGGCTATCTCTCCAGCTCCTAGATCTAAGTTTGTAGCATATCAATTTTTCCTTTAAAAATTCTTTCACAAATTCACTCAATTTTTGTTTGAGTAGTCTCTGTTTTTTCCCCTTTACATTTCAAGTCTCATTTCATGTGGTTGTTTCTTTCTCTTAGTATTTTAAATATTTCATTTAAGAAGATGGAGGTGTGGTACAGTTTTAGTATGCTTACCCAATGTGTTTAAAGTTCCTGGGTTCACTGAAAAACAAATATTTTAAACTACCTATTACTCATTCCATTCTCTTCTTGCTTGAATCACTTCTGAGAAGTCAGTTGTAAGATAAGAAAATAAGAACCCTTGTTACTCTGTATGAAAGACGTATTTTCTTCGATTTTCTGTAGTGTGAACATGGTACAGCTAATGTAGGGCTTCTTACATTTTGTTTTGTTGTTTCTTAATAGAAGCTGACTATGCTGTGCAGCTTATCTTCCTCCAGGTTTCTGTACCTTCTTTCTAAATCTCTCAGTCATGCTTGTTCATCCACGTGTTGGGTCCACTTCCAGAGTGTCAACTACCATGTCAAGAAGAGGAGAGCAAAGCAAGCGTCAGAAGAATGGAGTTCTAGAAACATGATGGCTGTTTTCCTTCCAGAAGTTTTCTTGGAAAACAGAAGGACATACTAACAATAGACATTTGGGGGATGCTATAAGAGTGACCTCCACAAGCCTCTTCCTGTGTTTTGTGGCCCTGAATTCAGTGGAAATTATGTTTTCCATTTTGTATGGAAATGAATGAAGAGAACTGGATTAAAAAAGGAAAGAATTGTTCTGTCATCCTGCTGTGCCTTCCAAACTCTGGGTACAGTAAGCATCACACACACACACCCTCTACAGATGTAGTTCTCATGATAAATCACTTTTTAATCAGTCATAATTTTGCATTAAGTGCTGAATAAGTGCCCTTTGTTTCATACTTAAGCTGTCAGTGGTGAACATCAGGAGGGCAGACTAGTGCCTATCATTAAGCAGAGAAATCAATACCATTTTTAATTAAAGGAAGGCACAGCCGGGCTTGGAGACAAGCAAATCTCCTTGTCAGAGCATCTCCCCTTTAAACTCTTTCAGAAGTTCAGCTCAGAAGTTGAGAGACAGCCAAATGTAGGGACAGAGTGACTCAAATGCTTTGTGGGGGGGGCTGGTCCAGACAGGCAAGCAAATGAAGCAGACAAGAAGCACACAGGCTAGGTGTATGTTTTGTACTTAGTCTGTTCTAGAGACTAGGTCTGAAGGCATGGTCAAAGATAGATCCTGGCTGCAGCACAGACCACAGACATTTGCATGGCCTCCAGGGGCAATGTGGGCCACAGACATCAACATCGACCCTGGTCACAGTAGGACCATAGACCCAGACATGGCCCTCGGTGGCAGCACAGACCCGACATCACCATGGCCTCAGATAGCAGCACAGGCCACTCAGATCAGTATGGCTACTCTTGCTGTGACAGTGATAACTCTACATGCACAGTTGAGAGGAAGGGACATGGAAGGCTTTTGTGACAATTCCTATCTCCGCCCCCCAAAACAACAGCCTAGACAAAAAGCCATCAAAGAGAACTCCTAAAAGGTGTGATGCGGATGCTGAAGTGTAGAGCTTTACAACTGATGGCTTCTGGTGGGGGTGTGCAACGGGACGGACTCAGTTCTATTTAAGGGGCAGGCCACCAAGAGTGCTCCAGTGAGTATATAGATAACACAAATTGGACTTTTTCCTTAGATTTTTACCTTTTTTTTTGGGGGGGGGGTCACAAGGGTGAGAGGATAGACATAGAAGAATGGAGAAGTGAGTATGGTGGGGTTCATGATGTGAAATTGTCCAAGAATCAATAAAATGCTATGCTATGGGGAAAAGGTAGATCCTGGCCTATGCTGTGGAGGTGAGTTTTTTCATTTGTAGATCAAGAATGAGTCTAAGGAAAGTCAAACAGGCATTCCTGTCACTTTTATTATGGTTTAGAATTCAGAACATGACATGTTTTTATGATTCCTTTCAGACTGTATTTTATATCTTGGGTTTTTCTTATTTTGTAGAGCTAGAGTCCAGCAAGACAGAACTCATGGTGTTTTACAACCTAATGACAGAAATGCTACCCCATCACTTCCATATTCAAAGAGAGGGGAAGGGCAAAACTTGCAATTGTTGAGAGCTAATCTGGAAAGCTACCTACCTGGAATTCAACACTGATATCGGGAAGCTCCTAACTTATTTGGAAGAAGAATTTTTAAAATTTTGATTTGGAGCAACAGAAGGCAAAACATTTAACCAAATCCTAGGAAAATCAGAAAGGCTAGAAAGAAAGAACTTGAACTAGTGAAGGTCCGTGGCACCAATATTAGTAAAGTGCAAGGCCATTCAAAATAAAGTTACTCCTCTACCCTAGTTTGTCAAAGACCCTTTGGGGCCTCTCCCTGATTTTCAGAGTTATTGTAATCATGCCCAATCTTTAGTTGTTACTATTTCCTTCTTATGCTGAAAAATTCTGACTAAATCTGGTTTGGTGACTTAGTAGTCCATGCTGATGTCAGTTAAGGTCTCTCTGTTCTCAGCAACTTTAAAAACCCACTTTTAAAATGGCATGAAGATACAACAGGACCTAATAGTTCATGCAATTCAGAGGTCCAAAGGTTAGACAGACCCCAGACTTAATGGGATCAGGAAACCACTTTTTTTTTTGTCCAAGTTTTTGACCTCTGCTTTCCTCGGTATACTGGCTTCATCTTCAGTTGTCCATTGTGGGGTTAAAACTCTTAAAAGAAACCACGATAACAAACATCCTCATCCACTCTCATCTATATGCCATACATCAAATTTAATATATTGTTTTCACATTAGTCACTATTTTTTGCCTAATTTCTAAAGCTTCTGTGAAATAAAAAAAAATGGGCCCTGTTTTAAATTAACATTTTTATATAGAGAAGCAAGATATACAAAATCTATTATGAAATAAGCCAATAATGAGCTCTTCTGTTGCAGTTATTAAAACACTTAAAATGTATGTATATACGCATGTGCCTGCTTTTGTGTATGTGCACTGTTTAGATACAGGTGCTCATGGACGCCAGAAGGGGGCGTCAGATTCCCCCTGGAACGAGTTATCAGTGTTTTGAGCCAGGAGATGTGGGTGCTGGAAAATCAACAAGTGCTCTAACTGCTGAGTCATCCTTCCAGTTCTTAAATAGCTTTTACAAAAATTAGTAGGACACATTTCAAACAAACTCTTCCTTAGACCTGCAAAGGAACCCATGGTCAAATCCACATCTGTGAAGACTATTTGTCCTCAGTCACCCATTTGGAGTTATTGTTTCATAATACACAAACAGCCCCTCTCTGTGCACCATACCACGCAGGCTGCCCAGGCTGTGTGGCTCATTTATGCAGAGCAGGAGCCTGCTAGGAACCCTTCTCCACCTCCACCTCAGGTAGTTGCAGAGCAGGTTGCTAGTGCAGGGGCCCACATTGCTGATCTGGGATGAATCCCGGTCAGGTTGGATGCACAAGGAGTCAAGCGCCCTGAATACTCGGCCCCCCAAGACCCAGGCCAGCTGACTTCTATGTCATTTACGCTGTGGAATTAGTGCTACCACCAGGATGTCACTGCCCTTTCCACGGCCTCCACGCTGCGGCTCGGCAATTCTAGGGTGCCCCCCTTCCACCAGGGCAACAGGTTCGAGCTCTCCGAGCATGCTGTCCTTACTTGGTCTTAAGGGAAACACATCCTTTATCCCCCTCCCCTTTTCCTCCCCCCAACCCCACCCTGGCCACCAACCGCCCTTTCCCCCTTCCCCACCCCCATTCAGAACACCGTACTCAAGCAACCGTTTCCTGCTGCACAAAATGGCCACTCCACGGGACACCTGTGGCCACGTGACCCGCAGCCCTCTTCACTTGGGGCCCCTTTCGGCCTAACTCCAGTTTCCCCCCAAAGGCTGCCCTTGGAGAAGCAAGAGCTAATTAAACCGGAGAAGTCCCGCAGCCTGGAAACCAAGGGGAAAGTTGGAGCCCTGGAGAGAAAGGAAGGACGACACCAAAAGCCAGAGTCCGAGCGAGCAGCCGGGGGAGCCCAGAGGCCTACAGGACACTTGAAGGCCTCACTGCGAGAGGACAGAGTTCTCGCGAGATCTTGAGAACTTCCACGACCAAGGGTATTCGCGGAGGACGGGGCGGGAGCGGGTGGAAAAGTGAAGTTCACACAGGACAGCCATCGAGGTGCTGGGCCGCGGGCCGCCTCGTCCATCTAAACTCCATTATGAACTCAACCGGGGGCTGCCCCGTGGCTCCCGCAAGGCTGAGAGGGCGGCGGGCCCTGTGACCACACCGCGGGCCCATGGCGCGCCAGGCCTGACCGGGAAGTCTCGCGAGATCAGGAACCAGCAGCGCGCAGCCGCCCCGGGCCGGCCGCAGCCACATAGCGTTAGCTGGAGGAGGACCGTGCGAGGGACGCGACCGCGGCGCCGCGGGCACAGCAGCCGTCTTCGGGGGCTCGGTCGCCCGTCCGTCCGGCAGGCACGCCGCCCGCCGCTCTCCCCCCAACCCCGACCAGGGCCTCTGTGGCGAAGCCCCAGCTCGGCCGAGGTGCCGCCCCGAGTTCTCCGTCCTCTTCAGGGATGAGTCATGTGGCGGAGGAAGATGAGCTCGGGCTGGACCAGCAGTTGGCTGGCCTAGACCTGAACTCCCCCGACGGCCAGGGCGGAGGGAGCGCCGCCAGCAGCAAAGGGCGCTACATCCCTCCTCACCTCCGCAACCGGGAGGCCGCCAAGGCGCCCTACGACAAAGACGGCACCCGGTGGGGTAAAGACAAGGATGCCTACAGCAGCTTCGGCTCCCGCAGCGACACGAGGGCCAAGTCGAGTTTCTTCGGGGACCGCGGAAGTGGGTCGCGGGGAAGGTTTGATGACCGCGGCCGGAGTGACTACGAGGGCGTTGGCGGCCGCGGAGGAGGAGGAGGAGGAGGAGGAGGCGGCCGAAGCGGCTTTGGCAAATTTGAACGGGGTGGGAACAGTCGCTGGTGTGACAAGGCGGACGAAGATGACTGGTCTAAACCGCTCCCCCCAAGCGAACGCTTGGAACAGGAACTCTTTTCTGGAGGCAATACTGGGATTAACTTTGAGAAGTACGATGACATTCCGGTTGAGGCGACAGGGAACAACTGCCCTCCACATATTGAAAGTTTCAGTGATGTTGAGATGGGAGAAATTATTATGGGAAACATTGAGCTTACGCGTTATACACGCCCAACTCCAGTGCAAAAGCATGCTATTCCTATTATCAAGGAGAAAAGAGACTTGATGGCTTGTGCCCAAACAGGGTCTGGAAAAACGGCAGCTTTTCTTTTACCCATCTTGAGTCAGATCTATACAGATGGCCCAGGTGAGGCTTTGAGGGCCGTGAAGGAGAATGGGAAGTATGGGCGTCGCAAACAGTACCCAATCTCCTTGGTCCTGGCTCCAACCAGAGAATTGGCAGTGCAGATCTATGAGGAGGCCAGGAAGTTCTCTTACCGCTCTCGAGTTCGTCCTTGCGTGGTGTATGGCGGTGCTGATATTGGGCAGCAGATTCGAGACTTGGAACGTGGATGTCATTTGTTAGTAGCCACTCCAGGACGGCTAGTGGATATGATGGAGAGAGGGAAGATCGGGCTAGATTTCTGCAAATACTTGGTGTTAGATGAAGCGGATCGGATGCTGGACATGGGCTTTGAGCCTCAGATTCGAAGAATAGTTGAGCAAGACACCATGCCTCCAAAAGGTGTCCGCCATACTATGATGTTTAGTGCTACCTTTCCTAAGGAAATACAGATGCTGGCTCGTGATTTCTTGGATGAATATATCTTTCTGGCTGTAGGAAGAGTCGGGTCTACTTCTGAGAACATCACACAGAAAGTCGTGTGGGTGGAAGAAGCAGACAAGCGGTCATTTCTGCTTGACCTCCTGAATGCAACAGGAAAGGATTCCCTGATATTGGTGTTTGTGGAGACCAAAAAGGGTGCAGATTCCCTGGAGGATTTCTTATACCATGAAGGATATGCTTGTACCAGTATCCATGGAGACCGATCTCAGCGAGATAGGGAAGAGGCCCTTCACCAGTTCCGATCAGGCAAAAGTCCAATTCTCGTTGCTACCGCAGTAGCTGCAAGAGGACTGGATATTTCCAATGTGAAACACGTCATCAATTTTGACTTGCCCAGTGACATCGAAGAATATGTGCATCGCATTGGCCGAACAGGTCGTGTCGGAAACCTTGGCCTTGCCACCTCATTCTTTAACGAGAGGAACATAAATATTACCAAAGATTTATTGGATCTTCTTGTTGAAGCAAAGCAGGAAGTGCCATCTTGGCTAGAAAACATGGCTTTTGAACACCATTACAAGGGTGGCAGTCGTGGACGGTCCAAGAGCAGATTTAGTGGAGGATTTGGTGCCAGAGACTATCGACAGAGTAGCGGTGCCAGCAGTTCCAGCTTCAGCAGCAGCCGTGCTAGCAACAGTCGCAGTGGTGGAGGCAGCCACGGCAGCAGTAGAGGGTTTGGTGGAGGTAGCTATGGAGGCTTTTACAACAGTGATGGATATGGAGGAAATTATAGCTCCCAGGGGGTTGACTGGTGGGGTAACTGAACCTGCTTTGCCATAGGTCACTCTACCAAAAAATATAGAAACCACATGTAACTTAGCCAGACTATACCTTGTATAGTTTCAAGAACTCACAGCACATTGCCTCCTGTGACTCCCCACTGAACATTTTTTAAGGGAGCTAAAAGTCACAAGAAAAGATGAAAGGAACAATCCAGAAGCCCCATTCAGAAGGTGGTTTGAAGACTTGATTGTTGTAGTTTGGATTAACTCTCCTCTTACCCTCATCCTACTCTGCATTTATAACTTCATGACTAAGGCTCATTTGTTTGTTAATGTACTGTACCTTTAACTTTAGACAACTTGTATTCTGATGTCCCGTTGGCTCAGTAATGCTTAAGATATCAAATTGTTTTAACAAAATAAATTTTCTGAACTTGGGCTAAGAAAACAAAAGAAAGGGACAGGTATTTGTTATGGGAATGGGACTGTCCTTTGCAGTGCTCATTAGGTACTCTAAGGAAGGCAGGGATGTGGCCCAGGATGAAGGATGGCATTTTGGAAATGTATAAATTACAGCCCAGGGGTTCAAGAGCAGTTATGGTTGAAATATCTGTTTAAGTGTACAGTTCTAGTTGCTAAACTTAGCATGACCAGGAATTGCAATATCGTTTTCCTTTCCTGTGTACTTTAAATAATCCTTTGTTCGTAGTCATCCTCAGTGAAGTGTAGTGGCAGCCTTTGAGTCACAGGTCAGCATTCGTGCTTAGTGCCGTGATGTAGAGGATATGAACAGCTCTGAATAAATGGTAGCAGGAAACCATAGAAGAAATGGTCTATATTCTTTCATTCAAACAGGTTTTGAAAAGCCATGGATATTGAGTAATTAGAGAATAACTTTCTCTTATGGTGGGAGATGTGAAGAGAGACAAGAATGGAATATTTGGTATTAAAGAACACAGAGAAATAGTTCCTCAATTTGAGCAGGCATTGATGGAATGTGTAATGATGGAACAGCAAACAAATGCATGCCTGTTTTCATTTCTACCCATTTGTTGTAGAACTTCATCAATAAACCACTACATCTCACATGGGATCATGGTTTTTTGTTTCGTTTTGAGACAGGGCCTCGTGTTGCCCAGGGTAGTCTCTAACTCATTATGTATCTGAGACTGGCCTTGTTCTTGTCCCTCCTATCTCCCAAGTGCATGTACCACCATACCTGGCAGGATCATGAATTTTTAAGTCACATTGTTTATATAAACAGTTCCCCAATATTTTCTCATGTCCTGTATGCCCTAGGACATCCTGCCTATCAAATTATTGTCTCTATAATAATTAGTTAGATAATAATTAGTTAAATGTTATGGAATAGATACCTACCATCGTTGGTCAATGAGTGGATTACATAGTTTACATAAGGCCAGAAACACATGCAGTTGCATATGTATGTGCATATATACATATATATGTAATTTAAATTCAGATAGGTAGATATGCTATAGATTGATTCATAAAATAGTTTGTTCTATAAGAAAAAAAATTGTCAGACAATCCATTATTTTGCACATGGTCCAACCCAAGAATTCTAAATAGCATTGACCCTAAAATTATAATTGCTCTTAAAACTATCAAAAATTCTTGGTGGCCTCCATCAATACTAACCCTACTTGTCCACAGAGATCCTCCACTCTATAAACCCTTATGTACCCCTTATTTTACTCCTTTCCATATCTCTATGCTCTGACTTCCTTGAGTTCCACTTGTTACCTATTCATAGACTACTATGGCAACAAGGCCTGGTCAAAGTTCATTTTTTTTCTCCATGAAACTAGCTTTAAAAATTGTAGTCCCAATAGTCATGAAAAGTAATTACATTTGATGTTTATGCCTGAGATCAGTCATGTAAATATTGCGATTCTTACTTTGTCTGAAATTTTTAGTTTTTTTGTTTGTTTGTTTGTTTTTTGTTTTTTTTTGTTTTTAATATTGTGTTCTCTTCCAAGTTGCCCTTTGCAGCTGCATGAAGTTCATGGTCTTCATGGTCAGTCTATATGGATTGACTGGAATTCCAGAGGGGCCTTTTCCACCCCGATGTTTTAGCAACTATAATTATCTTGGTAGAGTGTGGTAAAACACTTGGACATAAAGTGTTCTATGTGTGAAATGAAATGAATAAGAGATGTGCAGGTGACTACAGGAGAATTGTACAG